GAAGGAAGCATCTCCGACCCCATAAAGTAGAAATATTTTTGATGAGCATCAATAGCCGAATCGGCCTAGCCATATTTGTCTGTCTGTCCGTCCTTCTGTCAGTCCGTACGTATGAGCTGAAGGATCTAAGAACCTATAAGAGCTAGAGACTTGAAATGTTCACCCTCCCGAAAAAACTTCTTTTTTTTGGCTGGTGTGGCTTTCAGTTCGAGCTCGAACTTTTATTTATCTGTCCTTTTGAATATAGAATATAGTTTTACCTTGCTTGAAATTGAGTTTGAGGCCAATCGGAAGGTAAACAAAAAAAAGTTGCATTCAAAAGTTTTTCGATATTTTTCCATACTTGCGGATAGAATTTCCGAAATCCCGTCTTAACGTGCACCATCAATACATGAGGAAACTACAGTGCAAATTTCCTAGCTTTCAATCAGTCAGTCAGATCAAACAGTCTTATATGTAGAGATATCCGATAAGATATATCAAAATGAGTTTGTGTGTGGACAATTTCCTTGCTTTCAAAAATATCTTGACCAAAGAGATTTAAATTTGTCATGGAAAGCAAAGGAGTTACTCATTTTGACAGATGTGAATATAATTTTTTTAGGATTTTCGACACATTTCGAAAAATAAACGCAGCAGCTAAAATTTGAATTGAATATGTGCTAACAAAAAATGGCCACTACACAAAAAGCGAAAAATTATGCACTTTATTATTTGTATGGTGCAGCAGTAACAGATATTTATGTCACAAACGAATTTCTGCAAGGAAGAGCTAGGCAAAAAACCAAATGTGCTTTATTTGAAAAGTGTTGTGTCATCCATTCGGCTTTTAAAACAATTGAAACTTTGCCATCGTAGTCAAATGTCGGCAATGAGGCGTATGCGCAATATTTCAGTTGTGTCTGCAGTTACATTCGTATAAAGTTGGAATTTATCTGTATCTGTATCTGTATCTGTATCTGTATCTGTATCTGTATCTGTATCTGTATCTGTATCTGTATCTGTATCTGTATCTGTATCTGTATCTGTATCTGTATCTGTATCTGTATCTGTATCTGTATCTGTATCTGTATCTGTATCTGTATCTGTATCTGTATCTGTATCTGTATCTGTATCTGTATCTGTATCTGTATCTGTATCTGTATCTGTATATCTGTATCTTATGTATCTGTATCTGTATCTTATCTGTCTTATCTGTATCTGTATCAATATATATTTATATGTATATAAAATTGGCCATTCTACTACAAATTTTTGCTTCTTATCTCCGGTGTAAGCTTCAATGGATTTTTACTCAACTTTAATTAAAGGCAAAGCTCCCTTTCATCCACTTAAGCTATTATTTCTCTAGAAAGATTTCACGAGAGCTGGTCTTTAATATCCGTTTTACTTCTCAAAAATTACAATAATAAATAAATTGTTTTAAGGTTTTACAAGGGTGCATTGAATTAGAGAAAAGTACTATGAACATTTTAAATTGAAAGTGTTTTTAGGTTCTGTTTTGCAAGTTAGCTAGTTAATTTTAAGCGAGAGATAATAGTTTAATTGAAATTTTAAGTTGACAACATGAAGCAAAACAAGTAAGAGGTTCCAGTCGGAAGCTCCCGACTAGGGAATACCCTGATCGCTTGTCCACCAACACCAAATGTAGCTCGCGCTATGCGCTTGTTTGCTTTGGTAGTAAATGCATTGCTTGCTGCCGCCTCTACTCAACAGCCCCACCAATAATTGATTAAATAACAGCACAGAAAACAATACAATCGCCACTGCAATGCTGCTCATAGAATTCATCGAAGACGGGTACGAATGTGTGTGCGTACATGTAACAGAAATGCATGCAATTTCCGCTTGCTGCCAGAAAATCGTGGGCAGCCGAAATACGTTTTCTGTAATAACTTCTGTATTTCTTAACCGATCTTGCTGAATTTTTCTTTAAAATTGTGGCTTAAATACAAGTTGGTTTATTAACTTGATTTACAGATATGAGGTAGTAGCGGGGAGGTGGTGAAAGCTATAAAATGAAGGAAACTTGATATATATACTATTCTTAAAGATACATGTCAAGTTTGGTGGCTCTAGCTCTTATTATTAAGCGAATTTGCTCAAAAAACAGGATTTCGATATCGATTTGTATCGATTACTTACGTACAGGCTATCGATTATCGGAAACAAATACGAACTGTGAGGGCCTCAAGGTGCTTCTACATACCAAATTTCAAGTCTCTAGCTCTTATAGGTTCTGAGATCCTTCAGTTCACACATACGGACTGACAGACGGACGGGCAGACAGACGAATATGGCTATACTGATTCCTTGTTACCCATTTTCAATGGGTATAAAAATATTCTGGACATTTGAATTTAACAAATTCAATCTCCTCAGCTGCATGTTAAGCTAATGGAATCGAGGCTGTTTTTAGTCCAGAAACTGGTAGGGCATGGGTACAAAGGCAATTGTTTTCACTGAACTAACTCGATATATAGTCTATTCTAGCAGTCATTTCCTTTGTAAAGATTTGGCCAAAAGATGTATATATGGTATATTTCGGTATTATTATTTGTTTTAACTAATTCTCTGCACCCGAAGCCATATTCTAATTGATATATACTGGACATCCCTTCCACCCCCAAACTAAAAACTCATTGATTCAAACGTAGCTTATAAATAATTGTGTAATAAAACTTTTGCCTTACGAATGCCGCCTTCGCATGTTTTCAACAGTTTTTTGCTAGTTTGTGTTCTGAGTAGGTGACCGCATGCACTTTTGCTCCTGTGGGCAACCTCGAAGGGGCCAAACATTTTGCAGCTTGTAAAAGGGGCTTAAAGGCAAAAGTCAACCAAAAATGTTTTTTAGCTATTTATTAAATGGACAATGTATTTTTAATCGGCTCTTGAGTCACAAAGAGCAATTTATTTTTAGCTTTAGTAAAACTAAGGAAAACAAAAATGTTATGTAGAAATCACAGTTAAACTAAACAGTATGTTGCTTAAAACTTCTTAATGTGCTACTGAAGGTAATTAAGTCGTGTATTAGTAAGTTACAAAATTAAAGATTTTGTTTTGTATAAAAAAGCGTTGTGTCTTAAGCCCATGGTTCTTAACTATGAGAAAAATCGGATCAACATCGAAGTAGCTTTGGCACCATAGAAGAAATTAGCTTTTATATAAGAAAACTTCTTTTCAAGACTTTTATAGTTTGCTTGAACAAGTCAACAAGTTGAAACAAATATTCATTTGATTAAAGAAACTTGCCTTATTATTTTACTATTTTTGCGGGGTATTGTTTCACATATTTTTAATAGAGAATGCTTCACATTTAAAATACACTCAAAAAAGACAAAAAACTAAATTTTTATAGCTCAAATGAACTCTGCAGTTACTCAACAAATAATGTGTTCTACGTACTTCTTGGGCGACATTCAATTTTTAACAATGAATAAGGAATTGGTAGATCTCGCCTAAGTTCAGAAATGCTAGAAGCACTTTTCAGAAAAATTGTGCGTGTGGCTGACAGGTATACAGGAAATGTAAAATGTGAAGATTGCTTTTCGTTTAATAGCGACAAACGATGCCAGCACAAGAGTATGACAAATAAGTTAACAATCCAAACAAAGAAAAAACAGTCACCCACTTGAATCTCTTTTTTTTGATGATAGAACATTTATCAGAGCGTAACTCGTGACTGACGGCGTTTAATTTGATTAATTCCTGTTCAAAACCTTTATTTAATTGTCTTATGATATTTTCCTTTTCTGTAGTGTATTAATTCGTTACTATCAGGAGTTTCATGTCACTTTCACTTATATGCTTCACCAATTTATTAAACTATTTTTCTAACTGGAAAACCCTTTCGTCCGATTTGATTTGTGGTCCGCACTAAACAATTTGACGCCGGCTTCTGACGGCTGCAGCAGCAAACAGCTAAATTACGGTTGCTTTTCGATATCGAAATTGTTTCTGAATTTACAACCGGCTTTTTTGCCAGCTGCATAAGTGTGTGTAAGCAGCTGATATCCCTCTTCGAGAAAGCACGGGCGAGTCATAAGGCGCTGTTAAAGCTTTTTGAGGATTTAAATTGGGTGTCCTCTGTTTATGTTTCAAACAGAGCTTACTCTAAGAATTAAACTCAAAAAAATTCTGTCAACTATAAAAGTGTAGTTTTATCAGCATAAGCAAAAATATATAAAATTAGCCTTATCATATATATTTTCATTGAATATTCTACATTTTGATAAATAAATATTTTATAAGAATTAATAAGGAATCGATTAATTTATTTTCTGCTGAACCTACTACGAATTTGTATCAATATCAAGAGACAAGCAAAGATTTTATCCACACAGGACAAATATATATACAGGCACAGTCTGAATTAATTTTTTTTTTTTATATTACATTTTTAATTTTTAGTTAGCGACACTTTACACTTTGTGAAAGCATTTTCTTTGTAAAATTAAATGTGCGTAAGAATTGCAAGTACATTTTTATTTACAGAAAGCTCAGCCTTAGATTCAGACTCTTGTGTAAGCAAACCACTTATAGAATACAAAAGTTGCATACATTTTAACTCAAAATAATTTTTATGGATTTGCGTTCGAAGTAACAACTCTTTTCATTTCAAATTGTGGCTTTCGTATTTTCTTGAATTATGTATATTGCTTTTACGCAATGTTAACAATGGAAGCATCTGAAAGCACAGTTGGTTGTGGTCATTGCTAAGCGCCATGTATTGTTGAAAATGTTATTAACAGAGCGCTTTAGTTTCCGCTGTTAGCTGTTAAGTGAGCAGCTTTGCTGACTGTTAACGGATACTAATTTATCTTGCCTTGTTTATTTATTATTATTATCTTTAGAAGTACAGCATATATGTTTTGTTAAATATATAAGATCTTATATGATCCTTTATTTTATACTAACCAAACAACATATAGATAGAACATGCAGTACAACCAGAGTGGATACAAAAAAATCGGCGACATCTGGTTATTTGGCTAGTGGCTTTACTTACTTGAATGTTTATTGCCAATTTCGCGGCGCATTTCCTCCGACCGATTCGTGATATTTGGCTCAAGCGGATATTGGGCAAAGGTCATGTTTTCGTTGCGCATCTGTTTGCCGAGGGATTTCATCATAAGAAAACAGGTGTGCAAGCCTGCCACGTTGCGCTGACCATCGCGTTCATAGTAGAAAATAGAATGGGACCAGTTGTGCCTGGATGGTAAACGGAGCTAACATTGATTGGAAAATGCATAAGAAATACAATTGCCGACTTACTGCTTCATCACATTTATAGTCAATTCGGATAAGGACTCAAAGCTGAGCATTCCTGTGCGCAGTAGCATATAAAACTCATCGCCACAATCGGTTTTCTTCTGCTCAAAGTCGTAGGTGGAACCGCCCACGGTGATGAGGGGCGTGCCCTGGCTATTGAAATACTTGGTAATGCGACTTACAGCAGCTGAAAGTTGTTAAATTTAGCTTACATTTAGCTTAGCTATGTTACATTTAGCTTACCCAGCGAATAGTCGCAGACAGGTCCAAAAATAATCTGCGCACACTGCTTAATGATGCCATCCATGGCCCGGATGACGCCCAGCGAGGCATCGCACTTGGTGTCGTGGGCAAGCCACTCCAGGTCAATATACGATGGTATCAGCGATGTGGCACGGATCTGCTGCTCTGCCACCTTCAGAATTGGCAGCACGCGCTGCAGCGACGCCTCGTACCCATCGTCATTTGGGAGCAGCACCAGGGCCCGTATGGAACAGTTGCCGCCGGTCTTATCGCAGATGGCCTCACAATCACGCGGCGGCTCGTCCCGACACCTGGCCTGGCAGCTGCCCAGGCACTGCAGCCACAACAGCAGCAACAACAACAACTGCTCCATGCTCACATTTTTTACGCCTGGCTGTTGCCGTTTCCAGGCTCCAATATTTCTAATAATTTCAAGTGATTTGCAATTTTTCACGCCTGCATTTTGTAGCTCCGATTTCCTCTGGGCGCACTCTGGGCTCATTTGCATTGGCGCCAGCGTTTTCCTTCGGCCTCTGGTTCACAGCCTGCCTTTGCCTTTCCTCCTTTGGCTTGCTTTGTGAGTGCAATTTACCAATCAATTAAGTTGCATTGATTGCTCGAAAAATGTAAACATTGATAGATTTTGCAGCATGTTGCCGCTGAAAATAAATAATTAAAGAGATTTCGATTAAATTTCCTCATCTTAAATAGTATTTGTATATAATTATATATATAACTAGCGGATATTACTCAATTTATCCCTGGCCAAGTTATTTCTTCAAGTTTTTGGTTTACTTTTGACTCATTGCCCTCATGCAATCTTGAATCGCACGACTTTGAAAATAAATATGCGGCTGAGCGGGTAAAGGATAAAGGACAAGCAGTCTTATATATATAAACTAGCTAGTATTACCCGGCCTTGCCCGTTGCAAGCGTAAAATTTTAGATTTTGCTTCAAAATTTAGATATATTCATTCGCACCGCAGGGTGCGTTTTTAAATTGATTTTGATGCCGAGCAATAAACTTTCATAGAATCGTTTACCGTCAATTTACCATAGTCTAGAAAGAAAATTTCTAAACTCGCTGAAACACGTATTCATTAAATTCTTTTCTAGGGCTTTGAATGTAAGTTTAAGGTGGATCGCACAAAACTTAAAGCTGCCTCCAAAAAAAAAATTGAACGCATTTTCCACCGACGAAGCTTTGACTTTGGGAAAATGTGAGACATAAAGATTGGAAATAAGTTTCAGCTCGAAACGTCACCAACCAAATCTTTGACCCACCAAAGTGTGAAATCTCCTTCAAATGAATTTGAACGAAAATCTTCGAACATGAGTTTGCGGCTGATCGGAAGGTAAACAAAAAAGTTTTATACAAACGTTTTTTTCCCAGACCGTTTAAAAGTTCACCAATAAAATCTTAGCCAAGCAGTCAGTCAGGAGTATAGAGTTAAAAAAAACTTTTAAAAAGAAAAACAATTTGAATCGAAATACCTTAACTTTTTATAAATGGTTGAAAAGACTGTTTTTACAAAATCTACAATGTCTTGTGCTATGGAAAACAATGGCATATCCAAGTATTCTGAATCCCGTTCTGTTAAAATCCGTGTCCAGTTTACTTGCCAGGCATCTGATTCTGTTTGCTTATTTCTTTTAAAATTCTATCGGCTCCCTTATTGCTCGAGTCAGTCGGTTCCATTATCTTTATGACAAGGCTTGTTTTATCGTTGTTTGTAGGGGTGCTGCAATAAAAGCTGTAATTGTACTTTAAAATGAATTATTCCATACTTTCATTTTACTAGCATAGAGCAGACACAATCCCGTGCAATAAAAAATCAAAGACTCCACAATGATATATATTTCAATTTCCCATTGGTTGTAGTCATCAACTTGATACCATAAACTTATCGTACGTTGAACTTCGCTTGAAAATAACCTAATAGGAAACTAGGTAAGTTTCTGTCAGATCAGCAGCAGGGAGACTTACTCTTATAACGGTGTTCGAACTAACAAACTTTACGTTTCCACCCATTTCCCACGCGTGAGAAGCTTAAGTCTATCCGTATAAAAAATGTATATAATTTCAATATTTTCAAATATAAAAGTAGATCAAGCAAAGAAAAATTTTCAGGCCGAAAATGATACTTTCACTCACAAAATATAAGCCCAAAATTTTTGAAAATTAAAATTTTGAAATTAAGCTTCGGTCGAATGGTATGAACAATTTTTCATCTAATCCTCTTCCACCTACTATTCACAGTTGTGGGTGCCGTTCTGTGCGGGCTGTGCGTTGATTACCAGGCAGTTAGTCAATTAACCACAACTTAAAATGTTGTATTATATTAAATAGTATTTATTTTTCGAGAAGAATAATTAAAATCCCAAGCGAGATCAGACATAAATTGACACCTAATACAGCGAACTACTTGGCCACTTTAATTATCATTTACGACGGTCCGTAAAACCCCGCATTCTGGCTATCAAATGTTTGTACACATATGTTCCGATTGACTGACGTATTATGGTTTATGGACGCTCATTAATTAAATGCAATGAATCATGGTGGAAATGTTATGGTAAAACGTGTACAATGTTATTTGCTGCTGAACTCCCCTGAAGTGATAAACAAGTGTACAAGAGTACATTGCACTCGGGTGCAACCAACTGCGCCATACTCTGTTTGTAGTTAGACTCAAAAAAAGAGGCTTTATTATTACAGACTCTTATTAGTCTGTAAAATCGAGGAGATGTACCTGACCTTAAAACTATACATAATAGATTTTCATCTCTAGCTTCTGCTAATATAAAATGGTAATATTAAAAGAATATACTCATTTTCGCTTTATGCAAGGGTATAAAAAGGTTCAATTGTTTATACACATTTCAGCGGAATTGTGTACATTTACGAAACCTATTGATAAGGCCGCAATGAATGGAATATTTTCGGTGGAAATTCAGTATTTCAGAAAAATATAAGTCAGCGGATTTTGGAAATTTTTTAAAGCTCATAGCAACCTTTTCATGTTGAGATGTTAACCTTGTAAACCGATTGATTTCTTTATTTCTAATCTTATCAGAGCGTACTGAAAACTCATGATTTCTTTTATGCCAGCAATGGTTCTGTACAATGGGCCATGAAATACTTGCACATCAAAATTGTGTTGAAAATACGAAGAACTTGACGATTTTAGGAATTTGACATATTTTGAAAATAAATCTTAATCAATATCAAAAATGTTCAATTTAATAATTGTTAATTATAGTCCAAATACAACAACAAGTGCTCTAGCCGAGAGTGCCCGACCAGGGGATACCCTAAGCCTTCTTCTACCAACACCAAATGCCTTAATGATAATAAAGATAATTATAAATAATATAATAATAATAAAAAAAGAGATAGTTCCCTCTACGGTTCTGAAAGTTGTCGCAACTACCTTCAATCAAGCTTGCCACTGCTTCATACCTCACAGACATACCATCAATTAAATTTGATGATGATGAGAAACGAGAAAGTCAGGATATCTTCGGTATGCCGAAGCTTTGATACCCTTTACCCTCCAGTCCTGCAGATATGTAAGAATAGTGAAGCTCGTAAATGCTGAGTTTGAGGAAAATATCTTGACAAACAGAATATTATACCTTGTACATAAAAACTCATTTTACGTCCGATTCTACCTTATGTGCTAGGTAACAATAAGATTTGGCTTATATGTAAAACTCACGTTTTCTGTGTGCTTCTGTGCTGAGATAGGTTATCTCAACGAAAATTTCAGCAGTAAATTTTATTATGGTATAGAATACTTGTTTTTTTTTTTTCAATAAATCAACATTTACAGCGGTATGATCATTTAAAAGATAATTTATCTGTATACACTATTATAGAAACTACTACAACGCAAATTTGGTGAATCTACTGCTTCCTTCTTACATACATTTGCAGAAAAGCATTTTACCCACTTTTTAATCCATGTTTAATGAGTTCAGGGTATAAAAAAGAAGTGTTGCTTTCGAGTTGTTGAACTTTAATGTCCTTGTGGACATAAACCAGTTGTGCAACTTATTTACCTAAAGCTATCACACTTTTCATATAATATATACGTAGGTAGTTCACACACTCTACTATTTTCATATGCTAGGAGTATACCCGTAATTGCCAGTGTAAATATCTTGACAATCAAACGAAAGAAAATGTCTGCAGCAAAACGACAACTATCTTGAACAAACTTATCAAACTTATTTCCTCTTTACATACGACCTAAGTGCTATCAGCATCGAATGATTTACAATATGTACTATTGGAAATATAATATATATAAATCCAGTTTCAACAATATGGGCAAGGGCATTTAATGTGTAGCGTGTTGAAGATATCTGTTCTTATGATCATTTAACATGTTTTCAGTTAAGCGCGATTTTTTAATAGCAGAGATTTTGAATGTAAAAACTGCACTCCAAAGGTCCATTCAATTTGATCGACCATACCATATCTAGTGTTTATATTGTCTGTGACCATACTCTATTAAACCATGTTCAATTAGTACAACTTTGAAAAATCGACGCTGAATGCATTGAAGTTTCTTTATTGCGCGGGTTAATAAAAAAGTTTAGATTGCGTTTACCCAGCGTAGTAGAACTTGGCGACAGGGAGCAGGCATACCACGCGTCTGACAGCTCCGAGCGTTGTTTTGTGGTGTGAAAGTCTGCCCAAGGAGCTATGCAAACAAAATATTGTCAGTTGGATGTATGGGCGGGAGAAAGGGAGGATCTGCTTATCAGAGTCGAATGTAGGCGGGCGCCAGTGGCGCGGAATAGCAGAGCAACAGCTGGTGATTAACTAATAAGAATTCATCACCAGCAATTGACAGTGCAAATAGCGGAAGGCGCAGAAGGTGATTTGCAATTTCGAAAGCGAAACGCCAATGATACCAAATATCAAATCGTTTGGGTCATGTGCTTCATATCAACAGCTCAGTTGAACGCTTTAAATGCCCTCATTATGATATGGCAAACGCCAGCTACAACATGTTCTGAAAGAAACCCCATATCAATCATATAGAACCATGTTAACATCGAGATTTTTACTAATGTGAAATATCTGGTTCGAATTCTTAAATTAGAGATACCCAGCAAATGTCTATACGTAAATACAACAAATAAAGTTTGCTGTTCAAATTTAATTGATCGGCCCTAATATACATCTATTTTGGGATATGCCATTATATTTAAATTCAAATTATAAAAGGGGAGCTCTACTTTTTATGATTATTTGAGAGTAGAGTGTACTGAGTTTACTTAATTTAATTTTTATTTGTTCCGAGTCTTCACCCTAATAAATATCTTGTAAGTAAATTTAAAGTGATATATATATAGAGC